TTAAACAGACAGAACAGGAAATACAGTATTGGCATCGCACACATATGGACGTAATGCAACGCGAGCTAATTTGCCAACCATCGATCATTATTTCAAAGCTGTCCTCTTGTACAGTTATAGAGGATAACAGATCTCATATTTCGATGAAAATTGCGACTCTTAATCCCAACAAAGTATCTATATTTAATATGAAAGCAACACAATATAGGGGTATAGCATCCTTCAAACTGTTATCACAAACTGAGTATTGCAATTCTGTTCTGGATAAATCGATTTGGCAGAAGAATGCCTTAGTGAAAGAATTAATATCTAGAGGTAGAAATCCAGTGAAGAATTCGGCAGTCGAACACGATAATGGTGTCCCCAGTAACAAGATTAGGCTGCCTAAGGACATGGTCTTGTCCGATAATGTGCCGGTAGCAAAAACCAAGTAAATAACTCGCAACCTCTAAAATTATTACACGAAAGTGTTTGCGGTCTGAAAATAAAGCTTCGTGACACAAATGACAGAACGACAGACACTAGTATTTCTTCAGGCCGAGTAACTATCACTTACCAAAATGTTAGGAGCCTGAACTCAAAAATTCGCTCTAGTTCCCTAAATTCAGTTGGCATGGAGTTTTCCTGTTTGGCCTTCACTGAAACTTGGTTAAAGCCTGCTTTACATTCGGAATTCACAATTCTTTCCAGATTTTCAAAAAGAATCGATTGGATCGCACTGGTGTTTTAATTGCTTTTTCTGCTGCAGCCCCATCCTAGTTAATTGAATTTCCTAATCTTCGATGTTGAATTTACTGCCATTCGGACGAAAATTGCCAATAAACAGTTGTATGTAAGTTGCTTCTCTTATATCTAGATATCTCTATTTAATAGAAATATGCTGCCCTTACTTGTCACGTGGCCGAAAAGTTTAACCTCACTGATATAGTGATATCGTTGGGGGAATTTAATATATCAGAAGTCACTTGGTGTTATAGTGATAAATCTGGCTGATCTGAGCACTAATGTGTTTTTCGACGAATTATTAGTCCGTAGCTTTCTTCAATGCAGTCGAACTCGTAGTTGTAGTGGCAGACTGTAAGATCTTCGCCTTGCCAGTTTCCTAGAGATAGTCGCAAACCGCTGCCTGTTGTTTAGTTTACCTGAGGATCCTTATCATCTGGCTATTTGTGTTTCCTTTGCTTATAGGCATGATAGTCCGTTAAATCATTCTAATGCGTCAAATCCAATTCCCTCAAATAAACATTATAATTTTCATAAAACCAATATCTTACCGTTTAAATCTCATCTTTCACACATTATGCTCGCTTCATCTGCTGAGAATATAGAGACGTTACTACCATCGTTCTACCTGCTAACCTAGCTATCACCTATAGAAAGGAGACCACACAGCAGAGGCATACTCAAACATTGGTCTGATTAAGCAGAGTTATAGTCTTTTTGTAATGTAAAGATCCTTCATCCCTTTAGACCATTCGTTAATAAAACCAAGCGTGGCTCTAGCTTTACTTAAAGAGAACTCAATATGCAATTTAAAACGTAATCTTTCGTCAAAGGAACCCCTAAATCGATGAACGAATCTACGCTTTTTTTGAGAAAGAAAGCTTCTTGTTTACATTTAATTTCATAAAATTTAACGAGCACCAAATTACTTAAGTTAATTTGAAGCTGATACGATTGCGATTCCAAGGAGAGGGAAGAAAAGAATTTAAAATCGCCAGCGTACAGATTTGTGGCATGGGTTTAACGTGGGTTCCTGCCTGAAAGGCTTAATCCCACGGTGGCCCAAGCCATTTTAAGCCTAATATACGCCGAGTTAGACAATCCCCACAGAGTAGGGGCCTAAGCAGCACCAGAGTCCAGAACGGTTTATTGCGTATGGATCAATAAACCCCACCCTGGGCAGTGAGGCCTAGCTGCACTCGATTGTTCCACTTTGGCTTGGAACTGCCAACCACAACCACCACGAGTACTCCCCGAAGGACCGCACCCAGTAGTCAGGGCTCACAAATTGACCAACTATATGCGTTCAAAAAGGGGAAAGAAAAATGCGCTTGCTTCCACCATAAGGTTTCCACAAGCGCAGTTGATCAATTACCACCATTACCGCTAGGGATCCGTGGATACATGTTCAAAAAGTATGGTAGGCAAAAAGGGTAAAAAGCCTTCTGTCAAATCCTTTTGATATTATTATTTTATAGAGAAATTCTCAATTTTATTGTAGAATAGGGATTTATATAGGCCAAAGGGGAAGCCTTCCATCAAATTCCTTTTATTATTATTTAATCGCCAGCGTACATTAAGATCTGACTGGATGTAATCACCGAGAGGAGATCATTAATGTATAAATTAAATAAAAGAGTTCCTAGTGGCTGCCTTGAGGGCCGCCAGACTTCAAGAGAAATTTATCCAAAGAGACGAAGTTAAACAGAACCATGAATGATCTGTTATGCAGATACGAACTTATCCATTTCACTACGTAGAAGGGGAAGCGAGAGGGCTGGAATTTGGAAATCAGTAAATTATGGTTAACTAAGCCAAACACTTCACTAAAGAGAGCCACTAGAAAAAGCCTTGAAAACATTGAAAGTAAACTGTAAAGAACTCGTAACAGCTGATCTTCCTTTCAAGAAGCCATGCTGGAATGAAGAAAAACTCAAACAGTAGGCAATGCCTCTATAACTGCCAATGTGAAGTCTATTTCGACTTTTGTGAATTGGAACAAAGAAACTAATCTTCTAACACAAAGGGGAAAACATCAACAAAGTCGTTTTCTGAATCAAAACCGAGTTATTTATGGGATATGCATAGTCTACAGCCAAATCGTAACTAGCAGAGAGACTATTTCTATTTTTTGAGTTAAATAGTCGGTTGTGAGAAGAGGTACTTAAAGCTCGCATTGTCGTGGCGAAGAACGATCTGACGGCTCTTTTTTGCTTACCTTATTTTACCAATGGCTTCCGGCAAACAAATGGTTGTTTACATTCCTCTAAAAGCACGGATGCTCCATGATGAAGTTTTACGAAAAACCGACCATTTCCTTCAAATTTAACAACTACCGTTGGATTAGGTACATCTTGAAACGTCCATAGAGTTGACTGCTGTTTTCGGCTCATACGCGTAGGCCCATATGTGTAGTTTTACTAAACTCTATATTAACTAATTCAAGTACCTCGGTTACTTATATATGTCTGGCTTTAATATATTTTTTATTTTTTCAATTATGCATGCACGTTTGTGCTTCTTCCATTTTGCAAAAATTTTATTGCCTACTCTTACTGACCTTACACAATTATTTCGTTTGGTTATGGAAAATTGATACATTTGAAGTGTGTCATCGTTTATTTCTTTCTTTAATTTTAGTTTCTGTCTACGTTGCACTTTTGTGACACACTTCAAGCTGGCCCATATATGCGCATCTGGCCAAACCTACTATTGCCGAATAGTGCAAAATGCAATTATATAATTTATATGGAATAATTCTGCTTTGGTTTAAGTTTATTTTAATTCTTATTTTCAATAAAATTAATATTCTTTTTCAGATGCAATCAACCTTCGTGTTGTTTATTATCTTCCTTGATCATTTTATTTCTTTTACAGACCCCTAATTACAAGTGGTGAGAGGCACTTAATTCTTGAAAGTTGATATCAGCTTAGCTGAATCATCCAAACTGATCTCTACTAAAAAGCCTTTCGTTCAGTTTTCTCTGAGATTTCCGTGAGCTCTGTGCTCTGAGCTCCGTGATTCATTACTTTGTTACGATCTTACGCGCGTCTTTTAGAGTACCGGCGTTGCATTTCTTAAACGTTTGCTTTACGAAATTATCTAGGATCCACTGAAAGAAATCTTGTCCACAATTAGATAATGATGCAGTATTTTATATACGGTAATGGAACTAACGCCTAGCGTTGTCTCAATTTCACACCACGTCACATGGCGTCCCGCAGCACAGTGGCAGTATTTCTTGAAGCTAATTTTTGCCATTTTCGGCGGTATGCAAACGAAGGTCATGTTTTGGTAGTTTTTATACCGGCTTTTAGCAAAGGTGGTTTATTGACAAAAATGGAAGTGAGTTCGGCGGTGCACAGTTTTGATAATCCACGTCGAAAGTCATAAGAAATTATTGCAAGTCTTAATTTCATTTTTTCGCTAAAGCAAAGTTTTCAAGTCGCCGTAAACAATGCAAAACGCGCTCAAGTGACAAAATATGCTAACCAAGGTTATACCCAAAAACTTGAAATTTTGCAGTGGAAGCTTTAAATGTCACCTAATGACACTGAATGTTGCTGGGGGCTCAAAATATGTGAGCTACACACATTTATATTTCAATTTAGTTGACTACAGTGCGGGAAAGAAAAGGGTCTTAATTTTTATTTTATATATATAAGTTAACACTTTTCAGTCCCATAAGGGGTTATACTTTACGCGACGAGGGTTTATAACCTATCGTATGAAAATATAAGATAGGATATAAGATCAAACACATAAAAAAAAAAATGAATATATTCGTATGCACTTTCAAACTTTAAATTTATAATTTTATTAATAAAAAAAAATTAAATCCATCGAAAAAGTTATCCTAGCCCATGCCTATTCCTAACCAACCCTAACCAATCCTTCTTCCGCAAATCCTACCATTCATTGGCTTAACCATTCATTGTGATTTAAAAAAAAATAAAGAAAACATATTCACAATTTCAGTTAAGTAGTAACATAGTTTAAAGTTTTAAGAAGATAATTACAAATAAAGTAGCTTAATCTCATTTGAAAAGACTATAGCTTAATTTGCTTTTTTCCTTCTTTTTGTTGGATTTAATTGTTGTTAACTAAACCATCTATAAATTATGTAATCGATGATAATATGTGGTTAAATATTTTAAGTTTGTCAATAAATTGAAATAACTAACGTAATAAGAATCATTTGATACAATGAAATACAATAAAATTGACTAGTCAATGTGCCAAAGTAGTTAAAAAAAATTAAATTTATTTAACTTACCCGTTGTAGTCCATCGTTGAACGGGCATTTACGAAGTCTCACTCTATACAAGATAAAGAAAAATTTTTAAGAAATACAGCTAACATTTTTTTTTAAATCAGAATCTTATTATTTAGTATTAGCAAAATTTTTTTTGAATAATCAGAATTACTCATCGGGTGGCTGAAAACAGAACTGAATCTGATAGAATTTCTAAAGTTATCTAAAACGGCCAAAAACAAGCCCATCGAAACCCGAAGGGAAATTGCCTACAAAACGAAGGAAACGGCCTAACAAACAATACACCAAAAAGTCCGATTGGTAAATTGTTCTAGATAATAATGATACACTAGAGCTAATATATTTTATATTTGCAAAAAAAAAGTGATAATTAAAATTAAAGAATTAATTATTTAATAATATTTTTTCCTCGTTATTGAATAAAGTCGTCTGGTTTTGCTAAATATGTCAATTAACGTTATCCGTGGCACTATGATAAGTTGCACGTACTAACACATAAATAATTTTTTAGGTTTTAAGCTTTTTTTTTCTCCGGGCCAATCCTGTGACTATTAAAACTGGAGAAGCCTGGATCATAAACGGAAACCTGAGTTTTTATCACAAGGAAGAGGAATGCGAAGAGCAAGAAGGTATTTGACTGTCTACTACACAATAAAAGATGTCACAAGAAGCAAAAGATCTGTTGACTGGATATGATCTGACTGGAAATAGATTGCCGGTCGCGTCAGACTACAATAATGTGCTCGGAAGTGAACAGAAGATTGAATAAAAACAGCAATATAAGAATTTATGTGGGACGACAGATGAATTGGTCAAAAAAATGAACGACCTAATCGGTAGATTCAATTAGGCGCTAAGCCAACGAGAAATGTGGCCTAAGCCAATGAGAAATGTGGCTTAAAAAAAGGTTTCTAAAACCCACATAAAAAGGCACGCATATATTGTCGTGTGAACACCAAAAAGAAAAAGAGACGTAGTTCTATGACTAAATACAAATATAACTGTTCTTCTTTGATCGCATATGACAATAAAAAACCCTTTTTTTTTATTTGAGAGCACTGTACTGATTTTATTATTGTTTATTACAAATGAAAATCGTCGGAACGAAATTTTGTAAATCAGTTTTAGTACTAAGCTTCTATCAATACATCTTCTCAACACACATCGGATAATTTTATTCTTGCTTAAACAGCATTTTTACTTTTTTGATAGTAGAAAAGTAAAATATGCCGAAAATGATGTTTTTCTCTTTCCATATTTGGAAGGTCATCAACCGAAACCTACTCCGTAGTTCACCTTTTTCCCAAGCAAGCCTTGATATATCGGCTTTTAAATTGTATTTTAAAAAATCGAAATTACTTTTCGAACCTAATAGCTTAGATTATTAACTCTTTGTTAGCTTTACTTAACGCGGATATTTATTTAATTAAACCATACACAAACTTCACACCACTACTGGACGTTATCATCTAAACTGAAAATTCCTCTATTTTCAAAAGCTAGGAAAGATATTGGTTCTTGTTCTTTACAGCCGATTGGACTATAAAGATTAAATGATGCTATACTATCTGTAGAAAAATGGGAAAAATCCCCCACGCCCATCCAATATTATAGTGTAGCAGCATTCCATATTTCTCTCAAAAAGTGCATAAGCCCCAGAAAGAAGCTTGAGAGACTCTATGAAATCCATATAATGTTAAACAGCGACAAATTGCGAACCCACCTAAGCATGATTATGTGGCCATGCAGTAATATCCGTGGCAAGCATTTTTCACAAAAAAGAAGATATCGAATTCAAATGTAGCAAAAACGTTTAAGGCTTTTGGGCGCAATTTTTTATTGAAAATTGAATTATTCGGTCAAAAGACACGCGCACAGTGTAATACATAGTGGGAGCGTCTCTGGATTTCTTACTCATAAACTACAATAGACACAATAAAAATTTTCATACATATTCTACAGAAAATGGGAAAAACTGGCCGCACCCACTCAAGGAATGAAAATTTAATTTTTTCATTCGCTTTAGTCTTGGTGGTGGGGTAAAAGTGGTGGATAGAAAAAATGCAATCACAGTCGAATACAATTTTTTTTCTTGTTGCGTTAGTAGCAGTTGAAAAGTCGTTATTGCATTACGTAATCTGATCGATAAGGCTAGGGCACATATACTTAGAAGAAGCGACCAGTGTTTCTAGGGTTGGGTGGTTTTTGGATTCTAAGTTATCGGAATATTTGTCTTTTATACTCAATGTTGGAATAGAATCGTTACCAGCTTTTGCTCATTCTGTGCAAGTTTTACCTAAGACGTAACTTGAGTTAGAGATTTACAAAACTTAAACAGAATCATTGCTAATTTTTCTGATTCTCTTACAAGTCAATTTTATGGACAATAACTATTGCATCCTTTGGTAATTTCATTAATTCTAAATGGCACACAAAATTCACCGCGAAAATGTTATTATCAAAACTAAGTTGAGTTTCTCAAGAAACAGCAGTCCTCGCACCAACTAGAAAAAGTAAAATCTTATGATATATGGTATGGCAGAAAACCTACAGGGGCGCATTTAAAAACACTTGGTTCTATATCAATTACTTAGATAAAAGCCCGCGAAATAAATTTAAGCAAAGAATACATTATTGTTGGTTATTCTAGCACGTCAAAAGCGTGCGGATTATTCGACAGGGTTATTAAGGAGTTAATAGTACGTGGAGTTTTTTATCTTATTGAAGTTTCCAAGCCAAAGAATGTATTTTGGTATATCACTGAAAGGAGATACCCAACACTGAGAAAACATTAATTCCAATGGTGAACCTGAAAATGGAAATAATAGCTCGATCGGACGAATATTGGATTTGAATCAACGAACCCAAGAAGCTCTGTCTACTGAATATGTAAATCAGTCGTTCCTTATTTATTATCACCGTCAATCTTAACTTGTTATAATATATACGTTCAATTGATCAAAATGGAGAGCAGCCTCAAACTAAAATAATTTGGATAATAAGTTTCAAAATGAAAATAAATCGCGTTTCTTGCTTGTTCTTCATTCATTTTAAAACAATTTATATTTAAATCGCAACTTCAAATTATATAATATAAAAAAGATTTAAAATAATACAATAATAAAGTGAAATTTTAAAAACAATTTTTAAATTCTGGATAGTTTTATTTGCTATTTGTGCATTTTTTATACGTCCATAATATGACTATTTTTATTTCGTTTTCATGAAATCAAACTCATGGTAAATTCAAACTTTATTTATCATCTTATCAATAACGCAAATTATCGTCACTGTAGTCTCTTGTATAAGTAAACTATAAAACCTATCTTACAGCCAAAAATAATTCAAAAATGATCGAAAATTATTTTTTCAAATTTTCAACCGCCTTTCTAATAGGGTTCCTATCCGTACACACATAGACGTTTTGCTATCTTAACACAATTAATCAAATAAAGTGCTGTTTTTAAACCACATTTTAATGACACCTCTCCATCTTTCAACTTTACACAAGAGGGAGAAATTCTTAAGATTTGTTCAAATGTTAAATTTAAAGCGACTGATAATTAATTTCGATTAGGTGGCTTTGATTAATAATTTTGCAAACATTTGTTGTACGAACAATAACTGTGATTACGTGAATGGTGCTTGCTTGAAACCCATCGTTTCGGACGTAGAGAAAATTACAATTTACATAGAGGAATTCGTATATAGTGCCATGTAAATAAATATACATTCGCTAATAGTACGAGTTTATAGGATGTAGATTAATAATTGTTTTAGTATACATATAGTGTAATACATTTTGTGGCTGCGAAAGTAAACGTAATTAAAACACATATCTGATCGAGATTGGATCAATTTTTTTTTCAATATATAGTTTGGATCTCGCCGTTATTTGTGACGTACAACGTCATTCAAATGTCCTCCACAGGACCGGATCCTTCCGAGACAATTTTCGATTACATAGCATAAACTTAATATTTATGTTTAAGAGATATTCCAACTTTATTTCGTTCATTTAACAGAAAACTATTCAAAACTATTCAAACTATGAACAAATGATTAATTTCATATTTCAGCCTGAGTGGCCGAAGGCGAAGAATCTCGACTAGCAATTTTTTGGTCGTATAATAAATTTTTTGGTCGTATAATAAATTTTTTTGGTCGTATAATAAACTTTTTTGGTCGTATAATAAATTTTTCTGGTCGTATAATAAACTTTTTCTGGTCGTATATTAAATTTTT